GGATGACCAGGAAGTGTAGGAGGGATGAGGAACGTCTGAGTTCCCTGTCCCGGGCTGCTGCTGTGGTCAGAAACCCACTCACCCCAATGATGTCTCTCCTGGTGCCCGGACCGGATCTCCTTGCTGCTTGGGTGGCTCGTAAACAAAGGCAGGAATGAAGTATTGATACATGCTATCGCTTGGCTAAATCTCTGAAATGTTATTAAGCAAAAGCAAGTCAAATACAAAGACAAGGCATTTTATGCTACCACTCAGATAAAATATCCAGAAGAGATACGCCCATAGAAACAGAGAACAGGGCACGAGGAAGGGATAAAGAGAAACCGCTTATACCATGTTCATCACTTCCTAGAGGAGCTCAGTCTATATCTTGAAGAATAAAGTTAACTCAGTGCTTTCCAAAGTTTCTTCCCAAGCCATTGTCTTAGTCGTTCCTCTATTGTGTTTATATTCATTTACTATCTGGCTAGTTTAAGGACTGGGAAGATAGCCAGCTTGGTGACGTGCTTGTCACACAAGCACGAGGGGTCCTAAGTTTATCTCTAGCACTAATGTAAAATTTCGGCATGGCTCAAAACATCCATAATTCCCTATGCTGGGGAAAATGATGGAAAGACAGAGCCAAGTGCTTATTGGTCAGTCATCCTGGTTAAATCAATGAGCTCCAGTCTCAGTGAGAAACCTTATAGCCAAACATAAGGAGGAATGAGACAGAGGAAGACAACTGATGTCAATGTGTGTCTGCCACATGCACACATGCACGTACATCCACATGCATGCACCCCCAAACTCTAGTTAAATTTGTTAATGCTTCAGTTACCCCATATTCTGTTCTCTAAAATTGTTTTACCTGTTCCTTGCTATCAACAGGGTACTGGTTCCAGAAATCTGTCAGTGAGTTTTCACTGAAATTCTGTAGAAGCTCGTGATCTTTGTATCATATGGTATAGTATTGGCATATAAGGTACTGTGTTCTTATTATACATTAATTCATCTATAAATTACTTACAGTTTCCAATTCAGTGTAAATGCTATGTGAATTATTGTGCTATATTACTTAGGGAATAGAGGCAAGAAGACATCCTGTCCATATCCACTGCAGACATGTTTTTCAGAATATTTTCTATCAGTGGTGGGTTGGATCTGTTAATAGAGTACTAAAGGTGCAAGAGGGCAATTGTGTTTGTGTTTTGGCTATGTGAAGATTACTATTATTCTTAAATCTCTGTTACAGAAGTCTGTATACTGGGGGAAGTGCCACTCCTCTCTTCTACCCTCTTCTTATTTCCTGTTTCCTTCCTGTCCTCCCCTTGTAGGGATAGCTAGTGTATTCAGTCTGGACTTTTTCCTGTACTTTGCAAAAAGGAGAAATTACGTGTTATGTTATATTGCCTTCTTAATTAAAGGTAACGTAAGATACATCATCCTTCTAGTTTGCATCTAACCGCATTTGTAGAAATGATGCCCTGCCACTTCATAGAAATTTCCGTTATTCTTTTTCACATTTGTTTATGGTATGTGTGTATGACCATACTGTATTTTTATTTAAATATTCACCTATTATATTTTGAATTGTGTTTAACAGTTTGAAATTATAAATAACACTCCTATGAATATCTTTAGGCATGTGTATTTTTGTATTTAGGAAAACAGATCTTCATAGGCCCAGAAGTAGGGTTATTGGGTCAAATTTAATATCATAATATCATAAGTAGTTTTGTTAGGCAGTTTGAATTTTTTCCTGGAAGACTTTTCTAAGTTTTCACTTAGCAGTGTGTGAGAATCACTGTTTTCTCACAGCCCCATGAACAGAATTATGCTGCTTTACTTTAAACATTTGTTCCTGTACGTGACCGGACACTAACTGATAATCCTATAATTGTTTTTATATATGCATGCCTAATTGTCATTAAAATTAAGCTTTTTATCACTTGTGCACTGTATTTTTACATTATTGTGTGATTATTATTTCATACCTTTTCCTCATTTTTATACCAAATTTCTGGTCCATTGTCTTTCAGTTTTAAATATGTGTTGATAATTAGCATATTTTCCAGTTGTCTGATATATGTACTGATATCGGAAATTTTTTAATTGCCTTTTGATTTAATTATGACTTTTATTCTTTGAAATACTTTCATTTTTATGTGACCAAATTGCTTCTTTCTTTGCCTCTACAATTTGTGTGATATTTAGAAAGCCCTTTCCTATAGTGAGGTTAAAGAAGAGCTACCATATTTTCTTCAAGAAGGTGTGTGGTTTAACTTCTTTTAAAATTATTTTTATTTTATGTTTATGAGTGTTTTGCCTGTATGTATGCATGTACATTACGTGTTTGCCTGGTGCCATTGGCATCCAGAAGAGTATGTTGGAATCTGTGGAACTGGTGTTATACAGGCAGTTGTGAGCTTCTATGTGGGTGTCAGGAGCTGAACTCAGTCCTCTGAATGAGCAGCCCGTACTCTTAACCACTGTTGAACCATCTCTAGCTCTTGGTTTAACTTTTTGCTTACTTCTTTAATCTATGTTAATATTATGGATGTAAATGTCAATTTTAGATCTGTTTTAAATTTTGTTCTAATTGTCTCATGCTCCCCATTGCTCCAGTGATTTTGCATACCACCATATGTATGCGCTAATTTCCATTTGTGTTGACTTTATTTCTAGGCTGTTTAGGCTATTCCATTGGACTGTCTATACTTTTAGTTTTTTTTTTTAATTTCACTTTATGTGACTGGGTATTTTGCCTGCACGCATGTCTGTGCACTTGTACATATCTTTTCTCACAGACGTCATAAAGGGTAATGTATCCCCTAAAATTAAAGTCACAGATGGTTGTGAGCTATCATGTGGATGCTGGGAATCAAACCTGAGTTTGAAAGAGCAGCTTTCAAACTCTCTTACTTAAATGCTGAGCCATCTCTTCAGCTCTTATTTTTCTGTTCATATAGAAATAATGCGATGTTATCAATACAGTTTTCTAGAAAGATTTTGTTGCTGTTTTTGTTTGTTTAGTCTAAGTCCTTTCTCGTCTTCCTTCTCACTTATTACCTCTCCTCATGTATTCTTTCATGTATGAGTTTTACCATCAAGTTGCTTAATTCCAAAAAATATCTGAGGATATTTTTGCAATTGAATTAAATGTATATATCAGCTCAGGGAGAACAGACATATTTTTGATACTGAGCTTGTCAGGGAAAATAAAATCACACCAGTAGCATTGCTCTGGCACCCTGAAAATGGGATCCAGAACCCCTGTTTAACCAGACTTCAGGCGCGTCTGCAATTAATATTTTGAACTACTCTGTCTGAGTACTGACATATTCACCCACAAACAGGCTGACCTTGGGTACTAGCATGCACTTCAACTTTTGAAACAAATTTCACTAGTGTTTGTAACAGTTTGTGACATTATCACCCTTGCTTTGTGAGTCTGCCCAGTTCCTTTCATCCAAGCAGGTTTGACTTTTACTTTAGACAAAAGAAGTACAGTTCTTGACAAAGGGGATCGATTAAACTCTCTTGCCCCTCATGCTGTAAAAGAAGCCCATTTCAGAACCTCGGAACATAGTTTTCAGGATTACTTGAATGTTGTCTCCTGAGATTGCAGTCCTAAGAAGTCTCAAGTTGATGTAATTCTTCTGCTTTGCCTTTGACCAGGGTGAATTTTATCTCAGTTGGCAAGTTATACTTTCCAAGGACTGTGCCTGAGTGTGTACAGGCTCATAGGAAAGTGCCCTAGACTAGGTATGTGACAAGAAACAGAATTTTGTTTTCTCATTTTTTAGTGTTTTTGCTTCGAATTTTACTCGTTTGTATGATGTTGCATTGTTTTAGATATCTATTTTTATCATCCTGTGTTCTGGCGCTTAGCGCCATCTAGTACATTTTGCCTTTTTTTTTTTTTTGTGGTAGAAAATGTCTGACTACTCTGATTTTGCTTCTTATGTATTACAAGAGTCTTACTGCCTGCTTTTGTTTCTTTTCTCATTGTTACCAAAGTTCCTGGCAATTCCTCACTCATCTCTGTGTTTCCATTCTTCCCCATAAGCTCTGTGCTTCAAACACTGAGGCTTCAAATGATTCATATCCCTTATTAATGCCATTCATTTAGTTGTTAACACATATGAATTATACATCTGAGTGGGAGTCACTGTGGTATTTGCACAACTGTTTCTAACTTACTTTCATCATATACAAATATACTTTCTCACCGTCAGTCCACAACTTGGCACTCTTTTCAGACCCAAGGAATCACCATTCTATTTCAGTTTGACTGCTTTTTGGTTTTGAAATACAAAAAAAAAAAAAAAAAGGATTTAAATTGGACTCTTAAATGGAGTCCAATCTCAAAATGGTAGCTGTTTCCTTTAGCACTGGGAAATAGTATTTTATATTTTATGCTTATTTGAGACCTACTTTTTCTCTGAGGTTTTCTGGCGAGTTGATGCCCCTAATTAGATTTCTTCATTTCTGTCTCTTGCAGTTTTTGTTTGTCTGCTTCATTCCACATATTGTATGGTGCTGGAGTAGGACTGGCTGCAATTGCAGTCTTTTTCTCTCCGATAATTGTCATTTTGATGTTTGGTTATTTCCAAGATAATGATGATTATGTCAATATTATGTGTATTTACAATTTCTTTCATAATGCTTTGTATCTTTTGAGAGGAAATACACAGTGCCAGGTAGATAGGTAACTCACATTGTCTTCTACTAACTGATTATTTCTAATGCTAGCCTTTCATGTACACACAAACACATTTGTACACACACATACGCATGCACACACACATATTTACACACACACATGTACACCAAGAACAATCAGTTTTTAATCTATGCCCATAGTAGACATCTCTAGAAGTAGTTATCCATTTCATAAAAACTTATTCTGCATGCAACTAATATATTTTCTACATTGCTCTTATTTGTTTTAAAGAAGAGTCTGAGGGTGTCCTCTCAGGACTTCTAAGTATCTCTCATCCTGATGCAGGAATATGATGGTGGAAGAAAAGGACCCATCCTCACTGTTGGATCTTGCTATACAGAGTTTACTGAGCAATGAACCGGTTGCAATTCATTCCCTGGAGGAGATCCCAAGGGAGCTTTTTATTCCACTGTTCTCTGCTGCCTTCGTGGGAGGATATAGGAAGACACTGACAGCCATGGTGAAAATTTGGCCTTTTACCTGTCTCCACATTGGAACACTGAGTGTGCAGGAACCCCAGCGTGAACTCCTGAAAGCCATGGTAGAAAGTTTTCAGTTCCTACCTGTCCAGAATTCAGCTTCTAGGTAAGAGCCTGGATAATAGAGACATGGTGAGACCCAGGAGGTTCCACCACAGCCTGCTGCTCTTTCAAAGGTAGTAAACAATGACTGCTGAAGATTTATGTGTGAGGCTGTTGGCACAGTACTTGGTAAAACACTAAAGGCTGATAATATAGTCAATGTTCATTATGAAATTCATGTTATCGAGGGTACTATTGATGGGCTTACATAGCAGATGTTCTACATAGGAGAATAACACCAACTTTAAGATTGGAGAGGACTTAAGGATAATAAACGATGGGGAAACTAATTAAAGGATGTTGAATTTTTATGATATCGAACTTGTTGGCATTTGGCATCAAGAATGCAGACTAAGTCCCTACATGTCATTATCGACCCTGTAGGTTTACATTAAAATTTGCATGCCTCTTAGATGTTCTATCTCCTCTTTTCCCTACAGGAGCCCTAAACTGAGGATCCTAGATGTAAGGCAGGGTATTGACTGCAGGACAACATGCCCCGAATTTGGTATCAGATCACCTACTTGCTTTCATGGCTGTACTCACTCTGTACACTCTATTCTGAAGTTAGAAAGCCAGTGCACCATTGTAGATTCAAGCCCTGAGAGTCAGCCCTCAAGGCAGCCTATGGAATTACTAGTGGACCTATCCCTTGATGGCACCTCGAGAGAAAGGGAATTTTTTGCTTTGCTTCTGAATAAAGTTGAGCAGAGCTCGGGGTCCTTGCACCTCTGCTGTCGAGATTTGCAGATTGATAAACTGTCTGAGTATAAAAATACCCTCAGACTTGTGGATCTGTTGTGTATTGAACGCCTGGCAGTTGATCAGGCTTCACTGAGTGAAGTCACTACCCTTTTGGCTCACATGATCTATCTGGACAGCCTTAGTCTGTCTAAAATCACTTGTAGGTCTTTGCACGGGAAAGTCTTCAGAGTGTTTCTCAGCTATCTTGGGCGCATGACCTGCCTGAAAGAGCTCAACTTGTCGTCCTTCAGCCTCACAGATCATCTGGCCAGCCTACTCAGGTGAGGACATGGGGTATGCACCTAGGTCTCCTGAACCTCCTGTCTCTTAACACAGGGGAGAAAGGATTCCTGGGAAGACCTAAGATTCTTAAAACTCTTTATGCCTTTTGTCTCTGGCCTCCTGTGAATTTGAAAGTAGTCGTGCTGAAAAGTCTCTTTCATAGTCTGAGGGGTGCTGTTCCAGAAACGTCAAGGTGAAAAAAAAAAAAAAAAGAATGCAGCCCTCCTCTGGCTATCAAGAGATGAAGAGGGGGAACTGAAAGAAAGATTTTATGTTGTGGTAATAGTGCACATATTCATATAACTATAGACAGTAATGTCCCATCATTAGGGAATTCTCTAAGCTTCAGACCATGATTGGAGAGGCTGTCATTTATGGTCTAGCCAAAGGGAGCTTCCAGTAGGTTGCTCCTTCTATCCTACCTCTTTCTGAGCAGATGAACTAGCTCCCCCTTTGATTATATTGTAATTACTAAGTAGATAATATTTTCCACTAAATCTTTGGCACAAATTTCTTTATTAACATACTGTAAAAATTTTCAAGGATACACATTTCATGTGAGAATAGAAAAGTGACTTTTCAGGGTCACAAATCTGTTGACTGAATTCAAGCTCGTATTGTTAGCTGCTGCTACGTATTGTGTGCGAAACAGTTTATTCTAGATTCCTCAGACGATTTTCCGTCAGACATCTGAGAGCCGTTCTATCTTTGTTTTCTCTCCACAGAGCCTTGCCACCTAATTTGGATTTCTTGTATCTGCCGTTCTGTGATATTTCTTACCGAGATCTCAAATTTCTGTCCCAGAGCCCTCAGGCCACCCACCTAAAACTGTTGAATCTTAGTAACAACACAATGTATTGGGATGACTGTGGGCCCCTTCAGATTCTTTTGCAGAAGCTCTCAGATACCTTGCAGCACTTGGCTATAAATCATTGCCATTTAACAGATGCTGCGCTCGTGGCTATCCTTCCAGCCCTAACTAAATGTTCCCATCTCCGTGTGATTAGCTTTGTCTCTAATCCCATTTCGATGCCGATGCTTATGAGAGTCCTTCATTACTTAACACCCTTGATGGAGCTGAAGTATGTGATTTATCCTATCCCTTTACATTGCTATGAACAATGGCACGTTCATGGCAGCTTAGATCGACAGAAGCTTGCGGATGTCCAAGCGCAACTGAAGGCGATGCTACAAGCAGCAAAGCGGAGTGACATGAACTGGATTACTTATTCTCAGTAAATCTCCAAGTTCACCCCAGTTTCAACCCTAATATGTGACCTGTTAAGCATTCAATGTTCTTTTCTGAAGCTCCCAGAATCATATGTAAGATTCCTATGTTATAGAAACCTATAGTTAAGAAATAAGGACATGTAACTGATAGTTATAATGCAGTAACACTAAGAAGAAAATGGAGAACTTTGAGAGTTCCTGTGTGTGTCTTTTTTGTTCTTGATCTTACTTCACCTTACTACTTAAGTATTGGGTATACGATATGCCATGGCTACATCATGGTATGCTGTCTAATTTCATTCACTTGTGCATATCTAACATAGTGTAATACCATTGCAACTTTTCCTGAATTTGTTTGTATACTGGGAGGTGTCCTTGAAGACAAAGCCTTTGCCCTCTCAACAAGTTACTTTTGATTTCTCATATGTAAGATTCTCCTGGAATCTTCTATATGTTAATATCCAGTTATGCTAGCACATTTGTTAAATATGCTTTTTTCCATTTTATATGTTTTACTTCTTTGTCAGAAATCAGGTGTTCAAAGGTGTGTGGATTAATATCCGGGTCTTCAATTCGGTTCCATTGGTCCTCCTGTCTGTTTTTATGACAATACTGGGCTGTTTTCAGTACTGTAGCTCTGTAGTAGTGTTTGAAGTCAGGGATTGTGATGCCTCCAGAAATTCTTTTACTGTACAGGATTTTTTTTGTCTATCCTGGGTTTTTTGCTTTTCCATATGAAATTGAGCATTGTTCTTTCAAGGTCTGTGAAGAATTCTGCTGGGATTTTGATGGACATTGCATTGAATCTGTAGTTTGCTTTTGGTAAGATTGCTCTTTTTACTATGTTAATTCTACCAACCCAAGAGCATGGGAGATCTTTCCACTTTCTGGTGTCCTCTTCAATTTCTTTCTTCAGAGACTTAAAGTTCTTGTCATATAAGTCTTCCACTTGTTTGGTTAGAATTATTCCAAGATATCTTATGCTATTTGTGGCTATTGTGAAAGATGATGTTTCTCTGATTTCTTTCTGTGTAAAGGAGGGCTACTGATTTTTTTAGGGAAAATCTTGTATCCTGCTACATTATTGAAAGTGTTTATGAGTTGTAGAAGTTCCTTGGCAGAATTTTTGGTGTCACTTGTGTAAACTATCATATCATCGGCTAATAGTGAGAGTTTGACTTCTTCTTTTCTAATTTGTATCCCTTTGATCTCCTTTTGTTGTCTTATTGCTCTACCTAGGCCCTCAAGACCTATATTGAATAGATATGGAGAGAGTGGACAACCTTGTCTTGTTCCTGATTTCAGTGGGATTACTGTGAGTTTCTCTCCATTTAGTTTGGTGTTGGCTGTTGGCTTGGTGTATATTTCCTTTATTACATTTAGTTTGTTCTTTGTATCCCTGCTCTCTCCAAGACCTTTATCACAAAGGGATGTTGTATTTTGTTGAAGGATTTTTCAGCATCTAATGAGATGATCATGTGGTTTTTATTTTTCAGTTTGTTTATATGGTGGATTATGTTGACAGATTTTCATATGTTGAACCATCCCTGCATCTCTGAGATGAAGCTGGCTTGATCATGGTGGATGATGGTTCTGATGTGTTTTTGGATTCGATTTGCTAGTATTTGATTGAGTATTTTTGCATCAATGTTCATGAGTGAGATTGGTCTGTAATTCTCTTTCTTAGTAATGTCTTTCTGTAGTTTGGGTATCAGGGTGATTGTAGCTTCATATAGAGTTTGGCACTGTTCCTTCTGTTTCTATTGTGTGGAACAATTTGAGAATAATTGGTATTAGTTTTTCTTTGAAAATCTTTTAGAATTCTGTGCTGAAACCATCTGTTCCTGGGCTTTTTTTTTTGGTAGGGAGACTTTTGATGACTGTTTCTACTTCTTTAGCAGTTACAAGTCTATTTAATTTGCTTATTTAATTTTGTCTTGATTTAATTTTGGTAAATGGTATTTATCCAGAAAGTTGTCCATTTCCTTTACTTTTTCCATTTTTTTGAGTACAGGTTTTCAAACTATGACCTAATAATTCTCTAGATTTCCTCCATGTCTGTTCTTATGTCCCCATTTTCATTTCTGATTTTGTTAATTTGGATATTCTCTTTCTGCCTTTGGGTTATTTTAGATAAAGATTTGTCTATTTTGCCGCGCGGTGGTGGCACATGCCTTTAATCCCAGCACTCGGGAGGCAGAGGCAGACGGATCTCTGTGAGTTCGAGGCCAGCCTGGTCTACAAGAGCTAGTTCCAGGACAGGAACCAAAAGCTATGGAGAAACCCTGTCTCAAAAAAATCCAAAAAAAAAAAAAAAAAAAAAGATTTGTCTATTTTGTTGATTTTCTCAAAGAACAAACTTTTTGTCTCATTGATTGTTTGTATTGTTTTCTTAGTTTCTATTTTGTTGATTTCGGCTCTCAATTTGATTATTTTCTGCCTTCTAGTTCTCCTGGGTGAGTTTGCTTCTTTTTGGTCTAGAGCTTTCAAATGTTCTGTTAATTCACTAGTGTGGGGTTTTTCAGCTTCTTTATGTGGGCATTTAGTGTTATAAACTTTCCTCTTAGCACTGTTTTTATTATGTCCCATAAGTTTGGGTATGTTGTGTGGTCATTTTCATTGAATTCTAGGAAGTCTTTGATTTCTTCCCTGACCCATTTATGATTCAGGTGAGCACTGTTTAATTTCCATGTGTTTGTGGCCTTCTGGAATTAGTGTTGCTGTTGAATTCTAATGTAAAGCCATGGTCATCTGATAAGGTACATAGGGTTATTCCAATATTTTGTATTTGTTGAGGTTTCTTTTTCTTAGTATGTGATCAGTTTTTGAGAAGGTTCCATGAGGTGCTGAGAAGAAGGTATATTCTTTATGTTTGGATGGAATGTTCTATAGATGTCTGTTAAGTCAATTTGAGTCATAACATCTGTTAGTTCCCTTATTTCTGTTAATTTTTTTGTCTGACTGACCTGTCCAGTGGTGAGAGTGGAGTGTTGAAGTCTCCCACTATTAGTGTGTGTGGTTCAATGTATGATTCAAGCTTTAGAGTTTTTTTTTTAACATATGAGGCTGTAATTGTATTCTTTATATTTGGGGCTTAGATGCTCAGTATTGAGATTTCCTCTTGATGGATTTTTCCTGTGACTAATATGAAATGTCCTTCTTTGTCTCTCTTGATTGATTTTAGTTTGAAGTCTATTTTTGTTAGATATTAGGTTTGGTCTTTTCATGGTGTCCCATATTTCCTGGATATTTTGTATTAAGCTTTTTGTTAGATTTAATGTTTTCTGTGGGCCATAAATCTATTTCTTCTATTCTATCTTCAGCACTTGAGATTCTCTCTTCCATCTCTTGTATTCTGTTGTTTATTCTTGCATTTCTTGTTCCTAATCATTTTCTCATTATTTCTGTTTTTATAATTCTCTTGGTTTGTGTTTTCTTTATTGTATTTAATTCAGATTTCAAGTCTTGAATAGTTTCTTTCATTTGTTTGATTGCTTTTTCTTGGTTTTCTTTAAGAGAACTGTTGATATCTTCCAATTTTTTGTTTGCCTTTTCCTCCATTTCTTTGAGGGATTTTTTTTATTTCCTCTTTAAAAGCCTCAAACATTCTCCTAAAGTTATATTTTAGGTCATTTTCTTCTCCTTCATCTATATTTGGTTGTTCAAGATTTGCTGTTGTAGGGCCACTAGTGTTTATTGGTGTTGTGTTGCTCTTTGTGGTGTTGCATGTGTTCTTACCTTGTCTACCCATCTTTTCCTCTGATTGGTGTAACTGTGGCTGTCTGTGACTCTGGTGCTCAATCTTCCAGGTGCCAGTTGATCCAAGGCTCAGAGGGTTGCTCCTTGTGGTGCAATATGGACCACCGTTCCACTCACTGCATTGGTCACTTTGTGTTCCTGGATTTGGCTTGGTGGTCCCAGGGTTCGCTCTGGGCTCCTGGGGTACATTCTGCAATACCAGGGGTCATTCGGGCATGTTCCCACAGAGATTGCTCGCTTAGGGCTCTTTCTGCTGAGGTTGCTGCATTGGGCCTGCTCTGGCAGAGGTCCTGGCTCAGACCTACTCTGTCGGAGTTTCCAGATCTGTGCCCATACCTGCAGAGGTCTCTGGTTCCTGCCTACTCCCTTGGAGGTCCCAGACTCATGCCTGGATCTGCAAAGGTCTCTGGTTGCATCCTACTCCTTCAGTGTTTGCTTCCTTGTACCTGTTTCTGTGGAGTTTGCTGTCTCAGGCCTGTTTCACTGATATAATATTTCAAATATTTAAAAAACAAATGAAAAGTTAGTGATTTATTCATGATTTTCATATTGATTGTATTATGGTACTATGATGCACACAATTTTTAAAAGCTACAAAAATGTTCATATAATGAACAATTGCTTTATATTACTTGTGTTAGCAATATTTTTTTGTTTTTTTTTTAGCATTTGCTCCCCCTTGTTTCTTAACACTTCTTTTGGTTTATACATTTTCTGATATTGCTCTTACTAGCCTGTCTACATACACTCCCGTTCTAATCAATGTAACAGTAGGATGATACTAGCGAGTGAGCAATTGGAGCAAGATTTGAGTCTTTTCTTTTATGTTATAGTTCTGACTCTGTCACCACATTGTGAGATGAAAATGAGAACACACAATGAACAGATAATTAGGAATATCATTCTTATACTGACAATGTGAATTATTCCTTTTGCAAGAAGGTGGCTTTCAATTATTTGCTTCTAACCAATTTGAAAAATTACCTAAGTGATTTTTTTTTAGATAAGGAATGGTTAAAAGCAATTGTTAAGGATACCATATCCCAAGACTTGACTGATAATCTATAAACAAACCCTTCTATTACTATTTGTTGGGGCAATAAACACAAATTGACAGAGACTATGGGAAGTAATGAAGAACTGCTGCAGGAAAAACTCCAGCAAGTTCTGATCCCCCGTGTGCATAGTTTTCAGAAAAGGATCAAAATAAAAAAAGGATCTTTTTTGTTCAAAGTCATGTGTAAGAATACATAGGATAATCAGGGTTCCCTGCCCTGTGGGAAGTCCAAGGACCACCCACCTCCATCCAGGTCTAGTAAGGTGAGCATCCACGAAACTGCCTAGGCTCCCACGAAACCAATAGGTACAGTAGG